AATCACCCTAATAAGATTCAGATAGTCTTTTTATGAAAAGAATACATAATAATAATTAAAATTGGGAAAGGGATTGGGGGGGTGGGTTTTTAAATCTGATTTACCAAACCCCATTTTATGCCTGAAAGAACCACTTATGGGGATATATTGGTTTCGCCAAAATAAAAACCTGTTTGAATTAATATCAAAAATTTTCAAAAAAATGTTAATTTTAAATTTAAAAACGTATGTAAAAAAGGATTTAAAAATAATCTTTTAGCTAGTAAACACATAGAAATTTTCAAAAAGGGATTCAAACCCCGATTCCAAAAAAACCTTTTAAAAATTAAGAAAAAATCAAAAAAAAAAATTTTCTTTTTAAAATTTTTCTTTCTTTGACAGGGGCCTTAAAATCTTTAACAGGTTTTAAAGAAAACCCAAAAATTTACAAAATATATCTATCTAAGAATTCTTTTTACTTTCAAACCGTGAGACGCAAATGAACATAACTTAAATGTTTAGAACGAACGCAAAACTTTTCATGGGAATAAACAAAAGCAACACTTTCAAACGCACGAATGATTACATTTCCTTCAGCGACATTATAAATATGCATAAAAAAAATTGTTTTTTTCTTACTTTTCCTATGTATATAAAAACCCCTTCTTATTTCAATAATAAAAAGATAAAAAAAAGTCCAAAATGCTAGGTGTCTTATCCAAAATTCCCAATTAAATCTAAATATTTATTTTTTGGCCTTACTTGTTTTTTTATCATTACTTACTGGGGTCTGACTTTGACAAAAATATGGGAAAAAATTGTTTACAAGAAAAAAATAAACTAAATTCTAATGTATTTAAAGATTCCCTCTGCTTGTGTTTTATTAACACTGGTTCTCAGTTGCAGGTGAATTTAGACTTACCTGTCCCTCAATTGGTTTTCAAAGGTGGTAAATTTTTTTTTAATGGCAAATATTTTTTTTTAACACCTGCATCATTACATGTATTTACATACTGTTAAATTCACAGAGAAGGCAGAGAATATTTTTTCTTTATAGACCTTTTTGTGTTTTTTGGTCATCATTTTGGGAAAACTGATTTTCTAAATTATTGAAAACTGGTCCACTTTTGAGAAGCTATTTGATAACATTTTGAAAATGAGATAGGGTTATATGACATAATATCCTAATTTAATTATAGTAATTTTGCCTCGAAATTTCTTATAAGCATGTTTTGTTTTGCTTGTATTGTAAGATATTTGGAGAAAGGATGATATCATAAATGATTGACATAAATAAATGGGCCATAAATATAGAAACTATACTGATACCAATGAAGTGGTCTACCAACAAACTTGATAGGTTAAAAACCCATGAAGCTACAATGAAATGATTTGGTATTTGTCCTTCTTAGCATATATTCTGTTTTCATTACAGGCCCATATTTAAAAACTAGCGAATAACTTAATCCTAGACTTTTTAGTTTCACAATTTAAATAAAGCAAAGTTTTATTTAAAAAGCTGAATATTTTTTATAAAAATATTTATTGTTATTAATTTAATGATTTGTGCTCCCAAGTTACTTAGGGCCCATAGAAAAAAAAATGTCTGATTCTCATCCCCGTACCGCCCCAAACCCAGTTAGATTCCTCTCTGATAGATAACATTTTTCCTCTCAGCAAACATAGCCATTTAAAAAAAAAAATCATTTTTTTTTATTTTTCAATGTATAAAATTCCATCTTATTTCAATAAAAAAAGAAAATAAAAATGCCCTGACCCACTGGTTCTTACCCAAAATTCCCATTGAAATCTAAATGTTTATTTTTCTTTTGGCTACATCATACTGTGGTCTTCTACATTTGCACAACGATTTGTAAAATTGTTATCTTAACACCAAAAAAATAATTATTCTAATATATTCTTAAAGATTCTCACTGCTTTGATTTATTAACACGCTCTCAAGTTGCAGTTTTGTATGTACTTCCTCAATTGGTTTTAAGTGGGAACATTTTTTTTTAATAGCAAAAAATATTTTTTAACACCTGATCAAAACAGTATTAAGCATACTGTTAATACAGCTAAAGGTCAGAGAATACTGTTTCTTTATAGACTTTGTGTTTTTTCATCCCCTTTGGAAAACTGGTTCTTTTTTGATAAACTGGTCATTTTTTAGCGAGCATTGATTACATTTTGAAATGAGATAGGATATTATGACATTAAAAGCCCATTATAGTAATTGTTGCCTGAATATTTCTTTATAGCATGTTTTGTTTGCTTTATGTAATATTTGGGGAAAAATATATAAATGATTTACATAAATAATTTCCATTTAAAAAGTAGCAACCCTTTAAACTTTATACCCAAAAAAAGTGTTTTACCCAAAATTTATGAGGGGAAAAAACCCCTTTAAACTTTTCAAAAAATATGATGGGATTTGTCTTAAAAGCATAAAATTTTGTTTTTTAAAAGGGCCCCAAAAATTTAAACTAGTCAAAAAACTACTAGGGCCTTTTTGTTTCACAATTTAAAAAAAAGCCCAAAAGTTTTTTTTAACAGTGAATATTTATAATAAAGTTATTTTATTTTTAATTTTTTAAATTTCTTTAAGTACTTAGGGCCAAAAGAAAAAAAAAAATGTCTGATTCTCCTCCCCGGGCCGCCCCCAATTTTATTAATTTTTTTCGATAGATACATTTTTCCCTTTCAGCAAAACATGATGCATAAACAAAACCAATCATTTTTACTCGGACAAATTCGAAGAAATGAAGCTATTTGTAGTCGCCCCGGCGTCCGTGTCAGCTCCGCGTCGGCATCTCGTTGGTTAAAGTTTTTTTGTAAAATTCAATATCTCAATTATTACTTGAGATTTTCAATTTGAAAAACTTACAAATACTTATTTATAGAAAAACAAGGTACATCACGATTGACAAGTTTGGATAACTCTGCCTACAATATTGACAGAATTATGCCCCTTGCTTTAACTTAGAAAATTTTGGGTTAAAGTTTTTTGAAAGTCCCAAATATCTCAATTATTGCCCTTGAATATTCAATTGAAACTTACAATACTTATTTATAGTAACAAAGGTAAATCAGAAATACAAAGGGGATAACCTCTGCCTACAATATTGGACAGAATAAAGCCCCCTTTTTAAAACTTAAAGAAATTTTGGTGTTTTAAAAAAAAAGTTTTTTTTAAAAAAAAGTTTTTTTTCAATATTCAAATTATTGCTTGAGATATTCAAATTGAAACTTACAATACTTATTAATAGTAACCCAATGTACATCAGATTGACAAGTTCGGAATAAACTCTGCCTACCATATGACAGAATTATGCCCCCTTTTGGAACTTAAGAAAATTTTGGTTAAAGTTTTTTTGTAAAAAAGCCCAAATATCTCCAAATTATTGCTTGAAGATATTCAATTGAAATTTTAAAAATACTTATTTATTAGTAACATGTACATCAGTTTGCAAAATTGCATAACTCTGTCTGCAATTTCAGAATTATTTGCCCCTTGAAACTTAGGAAATTTTGGTTAAAGTTAAACACGGTCCTTCAAAGATATTTACTTGAAACTTTAAACACATGCACTTAAAGGGTCATAAAATTGGAGGGTCATAATTGTAGTCACTGACCAATTTCATAACTCTATCTTCTTTAAAAGGCCGTTTTCATACCCCCTTTTTAAAATTTATTCTTTTGGTTAAGGGGTTTACATGAAATTTTTTCCCAATATCTCAAAACTATTAAAATTTTTTTACCCTAAAACTTAACATATGCTTTTTGGGGTCATAATTTTAGTCACGACAAAAGATCCATAATTCAATTTTGCATTTTGGCTGATTTTTTCCCCTTTTTTTTCAAATTTTAAAAATTTCAGGGGGAAAGTTTCTTGTAATTTTAAATTAAAAACCTACTGAAGGTTTTTTGTCCCTTTTTTTGGGGAAAAAATTTTATGTTTCTTTAATAAAAACCCAAGTATTTTTTGTTTAAAAAAAATTTAATAAAAAACCCTTTGCCCTTTTTCGTAAAATTTAAATGTATTCTGGGTAATTGTATTTTTTTACTCAAAAAAAAAAAAACCTTTCCCTTTTTCCCTTCCGAATCAGTCCAAGCCAATTCTGTATAAATTAGACTCTCTGTTTAAGGGCCCTATAACATAATTTATAAAAAAAAAAAAAGCCCTTTTGTGACTTAAAAAATTTAACCCATATCAAGGCTCCTTTTACTATCAAAGCACTTAGAATAGTCCGAGCATGCCTGTTCCTACAGACAGCTCTTTTTTTTTATTTTAATCTATATAAAGTCCATCTTATTTTCAAATAATAAAAGGGAAAAATAAAAGGCCCTGACCCGCGGGGATCTTATTTCTAAAATTTTCCAAATTGAGGAATCAAACGTTTATTTTCTTTGGGCTACATCATACTGTGTCTGACATTTGCACAAGATAATGTGAAAATTGTTCTTACACAAAAAAATAATTATTCCAAAATGTATTTAAAAAAGAGTTCTCAGGACTTGCTTGAATTTATTATTACCACTGTTCGCTCAAGTTCAAGGTGATTTTAGTACGTTCTGTCCCAATTGGTTTTTAAGTGGAAACATTTTTTTTTAATAGCAAAAAAATATTTGAACACCCTGCATCAACATTATTGGATACTTGTTAATTCAACACGATTTGGCCAGAAAATACTTTTTCCTTTAATAGACCCTTTGTGTTTTTGGCCATCCAATTTTTCAAAAAACTGGGTTTTATTATTTGATAAATTGTTCATTTTTTGGGGAAGGAGCTATTGATAACAATTTTTGAAATGAGATTAGTATATATGGACATTATAGCCTAATAATTGTTATAAGTAATTGTTTTGCCTGAAATATTTTTTATAGCCAAATGTTTTTTTTGCCTTGGTATTTGAGATATTTGGAGAAATATGATGATATAAATGATGACATAAAAATGACATAAATAGTTAAGTAGCAACATAGCTGATACCAATGAAGTGTCTACCAACAAACTTGAATGAGGTTAAAACCCATGAAGCTATTAATGAATATGATGGTATTTGTCTTATTAGCATATATTCTGTTTTCTTACAAGGCCCAATATTTAAACTAGTCGAAAAACTACTAGATTTTTAGTTTCACAATTAATATAAATGCAAGAGTTTATTGAACAGCTGAATATTTATAATAATATTTATTGTATTATGTATTATGATTGTGCACACAGTACTTAGGCCATAGAAAAAAATATGTCTGATTCTCATCCCCGTCCGCCCCACTCAGTTAGATTCCTGTCTGATAGAATACATTTTCCCTTTCAGCGAACATGATGCATAAACAAAACCAATCATTTTTTTTTTATTTTTCAATGTAAATAAAGTCCATCTTATTTCAATAATAAAAGAAAAATAAAAAAAGTGCCCTGACCCGCTTGGATCTTATCCAAAATTCCATTGAGAATCTTAATGTTTATTTTCTTTGGCTACATCATACTGTGATCTGACATTGCACAAGATATGTGAAAATTGTTCTTACACAAAAAATAATTATTCTAAATATATTTAGAGAGTTCTCACTTGCTTGTGATTTATTACACACTGCTCTCAGTTGCAGGTGATTTAGTATGTACTGTCCTCAATTGGTTTTTTCAAGTGGACCTTTTTTTTTTTTAATAGCAAAAATATTTTAACACCTGCATCATACATGTATTAGCAATACTGTTAATTCACAGCGATTAGGCAGAGAATACTGTTTTCTTTATAGACTTTGTGTTTTGGTTCATCATTTGAAACTGGTTTTGCTATTATTGATAACTGGTCATTTTTGAGCGATCTATTGATACATTTTTGAAATGAATAGGATATTAAACTTTAAAATTACCTAAAATTATAGTAATTGTTGCCTGAATTTTTTCTTATACCCATGTTTTTTTTGGGCTTGTTTTGTAAAATTTTTGGAGAATAGATAAATTTTAAAAATAAATAAAAAAATAATGACATAAATATTTAGCAACAAAAAGTTTTGATCCCAAAATAAAAGGTTCAAACCAAAAAAATTTGATAAAGGGTTAAAAACCCCCATAAAACCCTATCAATGAATTTTGAAGGTATTTTTTCTTATTAGCATATATTCCTTTTTTTTAAACGGGCCAATTTTTTAAAACTATTTCGAAAACAAAACTAGATTTTAAAATTTTCACAATTAATAAAAAATGAAAAAGTTTTTTTAAAACAGCTGAAAATTTAAATAATAATATTATTGTATTAGGGTTTTTATGATTGTGCTCACAGACTTGGGCCCCATAAAAAAAAAAAAAATTGCCCTATTCTCATCCCCGTCCGCCCCACTCAGTTAGATTCCTCTCTGATAGATACATTTTCCCTTCAGCGAACATGATGCATAAACAAACCAATCATTTTTTTTTATTTTCAATGTATATTAAGTCCATCTTATTTCAATAATAAAAGAAAAATAAAAGTGCCCTGACCCGCAGGGATCTTATCTTAAATTCCATGAGAATCTAAATGTTTATTTTCTTTGGCTACATCATACTGTGGTCTGACATTGCACAAGATATGTGAAAATTGTTCTTACACAAAAAATAATTATTCCAATGTATTTAAAGAGTTCTCACTTGCTTGTGATTTATTACACACTTGCTCTCAGTTGCAGGTGATTTAGTACGTACTGTCCTCAATTGGTTTTCAAGTGGAACATTTTTTTTTTTTAATAGCAAAAAATATTTTTAACACCTGCATCGTACTTTATTTTAAGCAACGTTAATTCCCCAGCGATTGGGCCCAGAGAATATGTTTTTTTTATAGCCCTTTGGGTGTTTTTGGTCTTTCATTTTTCGAAAACGGGTTTTGCTATTTTTTGAAAAACTTGTAAAACCTTTTTTAGAAGCTTTTGTTTACTTTTTGAAATAGAATGGGAAATATATGACAAAAAAAGCCTAAAAAATTAAAAATAATTTTTTGCCGGGAATATTTCTTATAGCAGTTTTTTTTTTGTTTTGAAATTGAGATTTTGGGAATATGTTTTATAAAAAATGATAACATAAAAAATCCCCAATAAATAGAAGAGCATAGCTGATACCAATAAAAGTGCCCTCCCCAACCCAAAGCTTTAAATTGGGGTTTAAAAACCCCATGAAGTTTATAAATTTGAAATATGAGGGTATTTGTCTTATTAAGCATAATATTCTGTTTTCTTACAGGGCCCAATATTTAAACTAGTCGAAAAAACTACTAGACTTTTAGTTTCACAATTAATATAAATGCATGAGTTTATTTTAACAGCTGAATATTTATAATAATAGTTATTGTATTATGTATTATGATTGTGCTCACAGTACTTAGGCATAGAAAAAAAATATGTCTGATTCTCATCCCCGTCCGCCCCACTCAGTTAGATTCCTCTCTGATAGATACATTTTTCCCTTCAGCGGACATGATGCAGAAACAAAACCAATCATTTTTTTTTATTTTCAATGTAAATAAAGTCCATCTTATTTCAATAATAAAAGAAAAATAAAAAGTGCCCTGACCCGCTTGGTTCTTATCCAAAATTCTATTGAGAATCTAAATGTTTATTTTTCTTTGGCTACATCATACTGTGGTCTGACATCGACAAGATATGTGAAAATTGTTCTTACACAAAAAATAGTTATTCTAATGTATTTAAAGAGTTCTCACTTGCTTGTGATTTATTACACACTGCTCTCAGTTGCAGGTGATTAAGTATGTACTGTCCTCAATTGGTTTTCAAGTGGAATATTTAATTTTTAATGGCAAGAAAACACCTGCGTCATACATGTAATAGCATACTGTTAATTCACAGCGATTAGGCAGAGAATACTGTTTTCTTTATAGACTTGATATAAATTTTCACTTGAGTTCCCATTTTGGTATGAAGAACTAATGAAGTGACGTTTATACTATTTTATTTTTCTAAAATTAAAAGCTTTCTCAGAAGTGTCTGTATTTTAGAATTTTCTTCCGGACAGTTGGTCATGATACTTGTCTTTAATTAAAGTCATTTTTTGTCAAGTTATTAAGCTGAGGAATACTTAATTCTTCAGTGACAAAAGACTGCCTTAGTCTTGTGTCTAAAGCTTTTGTTGAGTTCTTCAAATGTTAAGAAATTAAAAGAATCAGTATGAAATATTTAATGACTTTCGTCAGGAATTGTGCAACGGTAAACTGTAGGTACATTACAATGAACTAAAGTAAACAAAGAACATGTCAAAAAAAAGATTTGGAAATCTACTTTATTTTGAATTTTGAAGAGTGCTACAAAATATTTTCAGGAGTGGAGATGATACAGGGTACAAATATTGAAAATTCCGGACCGAACAAGAAGATTGTTTTTTCTGGGGTTGAAATTAATCATGTAAGTTTGCAAACTTATTTAAGCTGCAGGATAATGATTAATGGGTTACATTGATATGAAGTGATTCATTAGGGAACTAGCATTATACCATGGCTAATGGACCATAAGTTAATGAAGTATATTTTAAGAGGATTACAGTGGAATCCGGCTTTTAATAATTAAGAGGGAGGTTCTTTAGATTGGTCTTATTCCTTTCTCAGTTATAAAATGTTGATAGATAATTTGTTTATTTTAAAATCTTCATGAAATAAATGCAATGGATTTTGTGGGTATTAAGTTGTTTTTCTGTCTGTAATAGTTTCTAAATTTTTTATTAGCAATGAAATTAAAATAAGTAAAAGAGATATTTGGGATCATTTGCATGTTTTCAAGTACTGACTGTCATTTTAAATGATTCAATTTCTATTTAGATGCTGAAGAGTCGAGTGATGAGAATTATGATGAAGAGTAGGATGCCAGTTCTGATGAAATAGCTTCTGACTGATTCTGCCAAGTAGCAACAGAATCACCTGATTACTCCTCAAAAGATTCTGATTCTAAATATAAGGAACAGCAACATATGAAACGTTGCATTGGTAAGTTTGTAGTCTTGATCATTGATCACCTGATCAGAAAATGTAAATAATCAGAATAAGCTTTATGGAGGGTGGGGGGGCTTCTTTCTTTCACTTTTTATTTTTGATTATTGAAGTCATATTTATCATTATCATCGCATAAAATTGTCGAAAAATGGGACATTCCCAGCCTACCGGGATGTTATGGTATGTATACAAGCCATATTGTTAAAGCATATATCTGGGAAACAATCACTATTATAAATTTGCGAGTCTTAAATTTGCATTTCAGATACTAAGAAAAAAATCAGAAAAATTAGCCTTATACTTGCTTAATTAAGATTTCATTACAAAAAAAGCATAAAGATTAAATTCTTACTTGCATAATTTCAGGCTGTATAACAGTCCAATTGTAATATGCAAACTGATAATATGTCTGTTACTTGACACAAAAGCTTGTAATATATTGAACACTTCTGTTTGACACATTTGCTTGCACATTCTCACAAACTCATTTGGTTGAAAGTGATTGTGCATTTCACGTGATTGTGCATTTCAAAAAATCTTTATTTTAAAAAAAAAAACAAAAAACTCATGTCAATATTCTAAATGTGGTCTCATGTATATTTTTTATAGATGACTCAATCTGCTATTGTTTGAAGCTTAAATAGATAAACAGCTTACAGTCCCAATTATGTTGTTAAATGATGCTTTTGTTTGTTTAAAATTTAAATGCACAAACATATATCTTAATAGGTAAAACTTACCCCCCCCCCCAGAAAGGGATGAGAAAACCATGGACAGAGATTGAAAAAGAGGCTGTAAAGAAAGGATTACACAGATGCTTTTTTTTAGTCAAGTTACCATCAAAAAAGAGAGTGTGAAGATCTAATCAGTAAGGAACCACAATGATAAAAGATTCTGTGAGAACATCATTTAAGCAGCACAAAAACGTCAAAATGAAAAGGAAAAAAGAACATAAAATTGATAAACCAGTGAATATATTAGTATGTCTGGATATCTACATTTTTTTAAGTATGCAGGAACTCAAATTTCTCTTGTCAAAATTGTCTCGATATCGCGTGGAACTTAACTTAAAATTTGCCTGATATTTTTGTGGTTTATTGTGTTGCCTCAACGGAGTAGTGGCAACATGTAGGGATCCCTTCTCCGGCATCTGCCACAAAACTTGTCTGGACTACTCCTCAGAAACTACTGGTGCAATTTCATGGAAACTTTACAGGAATGCTCAGTACTAAGTATAGTGTTTTACATAGAACAGTTCATCAAAATAAAATATCGTAAACACCGCTTATAACTAACAGCTCTAGACCTACAAAAAGTGTTTGTTTTTTAAGGAGTATGTAATAGATATTTATCTTCTGTTTTGTTATTTTAAGCTAGATTTTTTTTCCAAAGAAAAAAATATAGAGGAATTGCCACAGTCAGGTTCGCGTTCCCGTATCCTGTTGCTATTGTCATCCAAAAACTTTAACATTGATCATTATTTTTAGATCACCTGTCAAAAAGTGACAGGGTGAGCTTTTGTGATCACTTTTCGTCCAGCATCTGTCTGTCCGTCCGGTGTCCGTAAACTTTTACTTAAAATGACATAAACCACTAAGCCAATTTCATCCAAACTTCATAGGAATGTTCCTTTGGTGGTCACCTTTAAATATTGTTCAAAGAATTAAATTCCATGCAGAACTCTGGTTGCAATGGCAACCCAAAGAAAAAACTTAAAATATCTTCTTTTAAATAACCCAAAGAGCTGGAGCTTAGATATTTGGCATGAAACATTTTCTAGTCAGTGTCTACTAAGTTTGTTCAAATAAAAGCCCTGGGGTCAAAATTGGCCCCGCCCCAGGGGTCATTGATTTTCACTATATGCATATAGTAAAAATATGAAAAACAAGATCAACAAGGAAAGGCGGCGTTCAATGAACGCAAAACCCCCCATATGACCCCAGCAAAAGAAACCAATGGCAAAGGAGCCCCAGGCGGACCCAAACATAAAAAGGTCAGGGCAACGACACGTTAAAATCAATAAATGATAAATAATTTGTAACTGATTAGGAATTCAAAGAAAATAATAATAGGCCCACAAAGGGGAAGGGGACAGGAGACCGGGGAAGGGGGGGGGGTTAATCAAAGAAATAAAAACTAGAGGCAATGGGGAAGATACTTACCGTAGACGAGAGAAAACAACAAGGACACAAGCAAAAGTGTCACCAAAACAGTATGAAACAACATAGACATACATCTGAGGAACACAGTGGGGCGCCGCCTTGGAACGGTCAGCAGCATAATAATGACTGCTGGGGAGTTTAAAACCGGTTAATGGTGCACCAAACCTCGCTCTTAGCCCCACCATGTTCCTATAAACGAGACAGTGTAAATAAAATGAATCCCCGCCAAGTGAAATTCTAACAGTTGTCATGGTTACAAAAGGTTAAATAAGTAAAACACTAAAATGATCATGTAGAAAACATATAAAAGTAAACCCAATGACCATAACAAAAGTACTCAATGTCCTAAAGGAAGACAGAGCAACAAGAAAATCACCTACAAGGGCCCGACGAAGCAAGGCAGAAGACGAACATTAAAACAATTCAGTCCCAAAGGGCTTTACGAACTATCCATCATAGAGTCTCCCACTTGGTCCGTCAGATGCAATCAAAAGAGGAAAGCGTAGTGTCCAACTGTAAAAGGGTTGAACACTAAACATGCAGTATGTCTTAAAATAGTAGGGTCATAACCTCTTTTAATAAAACGTTTAATAATTTTAGTAAAAACAGCAGAAAAATTACCATGACCCAAAATCTTACGAAGTTTGTAAACCACATCGCCATAAAATCCAGGCTGGCTAATCCCTTGTCGCAGAAGAGTTTTTAAATCACTATTGAATTTAGAAATTAAATCAAAGTTACGATTGTAAAATTTAGTAAAATATTTCCGTAATTTATGATAGCGGTAGCCCTGTTTTAGAAGCTTGCTGGTAATAAAAATATTCCGCTCGTTGAAATCCTTTACGTTGTTACAAGCTCTAGCGAATCTAATTAACTGAGAAACATAAACCCCGTAGGATGTTGCATGGGGTACGTCTCCATCCAAATGTGGATAATTAACTATACAAAAGTCAAAGTCATCTCTTTTATCATAAATTTTTCGTGTGAATAGAATTATTGTTGATAGTAATATGAAGATCCAAAAATGATGTACTAAAATTTCAAGAGTTCGTTTTATTAAGTTGTAGTTCATGCGGATAAATGTCAGACACCATTTGATCAAAATAAGGATTATCTAAATTAAAAATATCATCAAGGTATCTGGAAGTATTATTAAATGCGACTATAACATCTTGTTGTTTCTCTTCCGAGAGACTCAACATAAAGTCTCTTTCATAGCAGTACAAAAACAAATCGGCGACCAGGGGTGCACAATTAGTACCCATAGGAATTCCTATGATCTGTTTAAATAGGGTATTACCAAACCTGACATAAATGTTGTCTAAAAGAAAAGAGAGTGCTCTACAAACTTCGTCACAGGTCCACATGGTATAATGTTTAACAATACCGTTAGTAAAAAAACTTTAAAAATCTTTTTTTAATTTAGATTCCAAAGAGCTACAGCTAAGATATTTAGCATGAAACATCTTCTAATGAATGTCTACCAAGTTTGTTCAGATAAGAGCCCTGGGGTCGAAATTGGCCCCGCCCCAGGGGTCATTGTTTCCCCTATATGTGTATAGTAAAAACATAAAATATCTTCTTTTAAAAAAAAACAAATAGCTAGATCTTATATATTAAGCATAAACCATCTTCTAATGAATGTCTACAAAGTTTGTTTAAATAAAAGCCCTGGGGTCAAAATTGATTCTGCACTGGGGGTCATTGATTTTCCTTATATGCATATAGTAAAAACTTTAAAAACTTTTTTTAATTTAGATTCCAAAGAGCTAAGATATTAAGCATGAAACATCTTCTAATGGATGTCTACCAAGTTTGTTCAAATAAGAGCCCTGGGGTTGTAATTGGCCCCGCAAGGGGGGGGGGGTCATTGTTTTCCCTATATGTATATAGTAAAAACTTAAAAAATCTTCTTTTAAAAAACCCAAATCGCTAGAGCTTATATATTAAGCATGAAACATCTTCTTTTGGGTGTCTACCAAGTTTGTTCAAATAAAAGCCCTTGGGTTAAAATTGGCCAGGCCCAGGGGTCATTGTTTTTCATTACATTGTATATGTGTGTAGTTTGTTCAAATATCAGCCTTGGGGTTTAAACTGGCCCAGCTCTGGGGGCCTGTATACAGGTGAACAACTTCAGGGCCATCATGGCCCATTTGTTTTATTACTTGGTGTATTGTCCTTATACTTGGGCACAAAAGTCATTTGGAAAAGACCATCAAGCAGACTAGACTAAACTTGGCATTGACTTTCAATTGAATATGGAACTTTGCTTGTAATTAGCAATAAGTAGTTGTAACTTTGTTACTTATGAATGGATTGTCTTCATACTTAGACACAATCAACCTTTCAGCAAAAGAATTTGAAAAGACGAAGCTAAAGGTGACCTTGACTCTTAAATGGTCATGACATTTAGGGTACAAATATGTTATTTTGCTTGATTTTTAGTTCAACTATTGGCAGAATATTCGAGCTATTGCAGTCACCCATTTTTCGGTGTTCCTGTGGTTAAGTTTTTGTGCTTTTTGGCTGATATCTCCCTAACTTTGGAAGGGAATGGATTGAAACTCTACACACTTCTTTTCTCTGATTATCTAAGATGATTTGCACAAGTCCAATAACTCTGATTTGCTATTTTGCATATTTATGCCCCTTTTTGAGTTAGAAATATTTGGTTAAGTTTTAGCTTGTAAGCCGATATTTCCAAAACTAAGAAAGGAAATGGATTTAAACTCCACACGCTTCTTCCCTGTAATTATCTCACATTATTGGCACAATTCCCTTAACTCTGATTTGGCTGAGGGACAATTTGAGCCGCGTTGCGACAAAACCAACGTAATGCGTTTGCCACCAGCATGGATCCAGACCAGCCTGCGCATCCGCACAGTCTGATCAGGATGCATGCTGTTTGCTATCAATTTCTCTAAATAGGGTTTGTAAGGAAACAGCATGGATCCTGATCAGTCTGCACGGATGTGCAGGCTGGTCTGGATCCATGCTGGTTGCAAACCCATTATGTTGGTTTTGTAGTGACACTGCTCATTTTATTTATTCATATAGGTAGGCAGTATTATACTCAATGAAACACCCTTGTCTAGTGTTGTGTCCTCCGACAGCTCTTGTTATTATAATTGCTTGTAACTTTCTTATTTATAAATGGATTGTCATATTAATTGAACATTTTATCCCTTTGGACATTATCTTAAGTAAGATCAAACTCCATGTAACCTTGACCTTGAACTGACCTTGACCATCAAGGTCAAATTATTAAATTTTGTTAAAAATGGTAGATTTGACTGTAATTGATCAAAATAACACTTATGACAAAATCGACATGATGTTTTATCTATGTCTGTCCAGGTCATGTTACTGACTTTTGTCAAAAATAGTTCAACTTTGTTATCAATTGATGGATTTGATTGATACTTTACAAAAGAATATTTATGAAAAATGCAACATGTTGTTTATCAATTTTTGTATGACTTTGACCTTGAACTGACCTTGACCGTCAGGGTCATGTTTTTGAATTAAGCTGAAATTTGTGTTAATTTGTTATTAATTGAATTGATTCTTGGTCAAGATCAAAGTATAGACAAACTGACATGTTGCATAATCAATTTTTGTTCTTGACATGACCTTGACTGTCAAAGTAATGTTTTTGAATTTTGCTTGAATTTGTATAAATTTGTTAGTAATGGATGGATTTGATTAATACTTGGACAATACAACAGTTAAGCAAAACCCAAACTTTGTTATTTATGAGCAGATTTGGTTCATACTTTGGCATGGACTGCATGCAGCACTAAACCGTTGTAATGAGTAATTCAAATTTGGCATTGACCTTTTAACGACCATCACCAAAAAAGCGATACGACAGTTAAGTTATATTAGTGACACAAATAAATTTAAAATCATTTTCCGGGTTTAATGTGATGAATTCAGTTAAGATAATACATTAATTTGTTCGTGAATTGTTAAAATTGATTCAGAAATTTTCATGCCCTTGTTAACTTTTTATATGTGATTATTTATTGTTAACATACATTTGATATGACACACAACGTTATTTTCTTGATGTTATTGGTATTTGAATATTTAATATTAATTTATTGAACTTTAATAGAAATATTCAGGTTAGCTAATATCATCCAATTTGTTATTGTATTTACTCATTATATTTGTATTTCTACGGCTGCGTTTTTATTGGCGCTATACGTCATAAACGAAAAATAGTCACATATTCTGGAACCTTATGATATGAAATGTGATTATGAATAGATAGAATGGAAATAAAAAAAGTGGATTTATTAAAACATTTTCCTTTTCCAATGCATTGTGTAATAGCCAGGATAAATGTTAATTATTTATAAGTACTTATTATTTCCATATGTAGAAAGTTATTGACTTTTAATATAATAAACT